ACAATGACACAATGATGATCAAAAATTCGAATTACAAGAAGAAGATGAAGGGGTGAGCATGGGGAATAAATTGCACTCGTGTCCCGTTCAAAGGTATACTAATAAAATACACATAAACGAACATCAATACGATAGTTGGTTTGTAGTTGGAAAAAGAGGGTAGAATCATTTACTCTATTTTGTTTTCTTTTTTTTTTTTTTCTTTTCCTAAAGGTTGAAGATAAGGGATGAGAGACGTTAAAGCTTATCTCTCGCGAATAAAACGTACGTTATACGAGGCTGCTTAAGTGATTGCTTCTCTTCATTAGAGTTTGCCTCGTTTCTCGTACGGTCGAACTTGAGGGACAGGTGCGGTAATGGTCCGTATCGAAGCTTACCACCCCCAAACCCCACTAGCAATGTGTTTCTTCAGAGAAGGGAGAAAGAAAGAAAGAGAGAGGTAGCAAGCTAGCTGCCTTCCAACCAAACTGAATGTGAAAAGAGAGAAAGAGAGAGAGAGAGATATCAAATGTACGATAAACGTAGTCGGTTTAACGTCCATGAGCACTCTCTATAACCTCCAACCCCCTTAGACTATTACGCGAATTGATTCGGCATCGGATTCGTTCAAGCCTGGAACACCGTTTAACCCCTCGTTTCTCCCCACTCTTTTTCTCTCTATTTCTATCTTTCTTTTTTCTCTTTCAGTCCAGTAGTTTCTTTTTCACCCTTCCTTCCTTTCTTCTTCTTCTTCTTCTTCTTCTTCTTCTTCTTTCTTAACTTGCATCGGTTCCTATCGCAACTTACCCATCTAACAGCTAAAACTTCTACTGGAATTCCGATTGGATGATCACCCTGGAAAATAAAGTTCACGAGTTTCACACTTTGTGCTATGTTAACCTTTTTGAATTTGCTTAAAGGGTGGATATATACTTACATTTTACTTTACTTAAATGTAAATCGATAATAAGAAAACGATTTTTACCTTTTTCCTATCTTCATCTTCTTATTCTTTTTATATGAATGTACCAGTATACCTCGTTCATCTTTCTCTCTCTCTTTCGTCTTGTAAAAAAGAAAAAGAAGTAGCAGGAAATCAATCGGCGTTACTACTTCACAACCGTAGAAGAAAACGTGATGGAGGAGAAGAATGCGAAAAGGATATGTTAGAAAGATTTGGAAATAATTCAAACGGCTATGTGCTGGCCTCGTTCTGCCTTTCACTCTGATGGTGGTGGTGGTGGTGGTGGTGCTGCTGCTGCTGCTGGTTCTGGTGTTGGTGTTGGTGGTGGTGGCTCGCTCGTGGCACCCCTGCATGCCCGCCCCTTAATCTAATCCAAGGATAATCTAAAATTCATGACACACATAACTGCCAGGCGATGATATATCTGGCGGGGGTGTAAAGGCCCCGTTTACCACCACCGATCCTACTACCACCTTCCTTCCTTCCTTCCTTCCTTCCTGCACACAACCATCGACTCTCTACCTCTTCTTCAACCCAACCACCCCCAAACCCCCTTAACAATATTTCCCACTACTACGGTTCTTCTTTTTGTTTCTTCCTTCCTTTCTTTCTTTCTTTCTTTTTCCCTACCCCAACACTCTTCTTTTACTTCTTCTCTTGCGCTGCAATCACTGACTTTATTATTTAATGTAACACGAGCTTTTGAATTAAGTTTACTGTGAAACTTAACATTTACAAATGCTAATCAATTTGTTCTTTCTCACACCTATTTAAATTGTAATATATATTAGGTAGAAAGTAACGTCGTTTGTTAACCTCAAAATTCAAACAAAAATATTTATTATTATTAATCAATAATTAAATTAATTAATCACGTTATCAATAACCTTTTTCTATCTGACATGCAAATTGTTAATATCGTAATGATAAAAATTATCAATCAGTTTTTTTTTCATTTAAAATATTAGAAATAATTTGACATGCGTAATAAACGACATTACTTTTCATCATTCATAATTCATTAAAAAAAAAAAAAAACAAATCCTGTTCTAATCTTGAATATAAATTCGTAACGATGATTATTCGTAATTCATTGTATTCCTAATCCTGTCGAGATGATAGCATATTTACAGTTTCTCTAGATTGATAATCGTATCAACGTTACAGGAATGATACGTTTTACAGGATTTGTCAAGCTCGTTTGTAGTACAAATCAAATCGATGTTCGTTTCACGTTCTACTGTATATATCTAATACGTATACTAAATCCTCCAATCTGTATATGTGCACAGGTTAACCGATTGATTATCTTGTAAATTATCTACTCGGATGTACGTAAATTGAACAAATTGTTGATTAATCTAAAGATATTCGTTGTTTAAATATGTCAAACGTTTTATAAATTAAATGATACTTATTCAAGTATTTTATTTCATTAATACAATAATTAATAGTAATTTTCTAAAAGATTTTAAAGTACTACAATCGTAAATTAGAAGAGAGATGAGATATATACATAAATAAAATCAACAACAACAACCAAAAAAACTTGCGGACAGAAACAAACGACCACGAAACAAACCGCGAGTAGTTCCCTTCTAGGAAACCCCTCTCCCTTTTAGGTCCTTTTCCCGATTGTTCTTGCTATAACATTACTAGTTTCGTCCTGTAGGAAGGAAGGAAGGGAGGAAGGAAGGGTGTATGATAATTGATGATGTTGGTCGTTTCTAGCGAGACATTATTTCGCAGTTAGGTAGTCGACACCAACGAAAGATGAATAGCATTTTAACTTCCTTCCTTCCCTTCTTCCTTCCCACCCTTTTAAATGTTCTATTATCAATTACTATCATATTTTTATTTTTTTTTATCGTTTCAATTATCTTCTTCTTTTTTTTTTTTAATTGTAAATAGTTCATGCGTATTTGTACGATAAATCATTAGAAAGTTGAAGATAAATAAGAAGATAATGGCAAAAAATCTTTAGAGAAAAGATAGGAAAAAGTCCTTTTTCTTTCGAAGAACAAGAAACGAATAAGAGGATGAGGAGGAGGAGGAGGAGGAAGAAGAAGTAGAAAAAGAAGAAGAAGAGTGGAGGGTGAGATTTGGTCGTTCGAGTCACGCCAGGGCCGACCCCTTGGCGGCGGACAAACGACGGCCAATTTACGAGTGACTGCGTAGAAGAGAAAAAAGAAGAAAACTCCTTCAAACTCGGATTAGAATAAGCGAGGTATTGCGCTCGCTTATCTTTCCCTCCCCCCCTCTCACCCCATTCCCCTCTCTTACTTCCTCATCAAGCAAGCAACCAACCAACCAACCCTCTTCGCGAACTCCTCCTCTCTTTCTCCATTCTTCTTTTTACTATACTTCCCTTCTTACTTTTTCTTCAACTAAACCCCTCGAAATTATCCTCTCGAGTTTCCTCTTCAACTTCCTTCTTCTTCTTCTTCTTCTTTTTTTTCTTTGCTTTTTTTTTTTGTATTTTATATACCATTTTATTTAACTCGCGGTGTTCTCCAACGAGAACGGGGAAGAAGTGAGAAGGAAGAGGGTTGGGGGGGACCAGTCATGTTCTTTGTTTCATCCCTTTTTCAAGCTAGCGAACGAATTTTCTCCTCATCCATGGGGATTTTGTAATTGGCGACGATACAACGCGGATCATTCGAGCGTACGCAGATTAGAAATTAAGAATCGTCCGTTATTCTAATTGAAATTAATCTTAACCGATTATGTCGTGTAGTTCCTCTCTCTCTTTTTTTTTTTTTTCTATAATAAATTCATTCAAGATAAAATAATATATATTTGATATCTAAAAAGAAAATCTAATATTTTCACATACAATTATAGATTTGATAAAATTAAATCTATCTTTCAAATCATTTAATCAATTGCTTGTTTTTTTGCTTGTTATTTCGTCGTAGAATTTTTCGAATAAAAAACACACTTGCGTCAGTTCGGTTGGTCCCAAATAGGGTACACGGTTGAGATGATAACGGCGCCCTTGGGAGTTGGAGGGTAACGCGATTACATAGTTACGCTACTGGCGGGACGGTTCACCCGTCTTGATTTATCCGTGTAGCGTCGCGTTATTGCATTAGCGCCCCGACAGCAATGCTGCTGCTGCTACTGCTGCTGCTGCTGGACCACCACCACCATATCCAGAGCTAGCTAACACTACCACTACAAATGTAATAACACCATCGTAACATCACCGCCAACATGCTACTACCACCACCCAATTCCTGTTTGAGGATACCGAGGAAATTCTCGAGGAACGAAACTTATTCGTCCAGCGTCCACCAACCAACCCCCCTCCCCCTGATCCACCATCAGTGAATCATCCCCAAGAATTATGTCTTACGTCTTATACCACTCGGATGACCGATCCATAAACACTACTGGATTCCCATTACGATTCCCGATCGTTTACTATTTCAACCCCTATTACAAATATTAATAGGAATGATATTCTAGTCACGCGTTTGTCATTGATTCTCAACAAAGGATATTCATTTCTTATTCCTTTTGTTCTGATTATGATTCCTCATTATTGGGAGATGATTAATTAACGTATTAAACTCACGATCAGATAGAGAAGATTATTCTATTGTATTCCTATTATATATTTGATCATTTCTTTTTTTCTTCAAGCAATAATCTGACAATAATTTGTCCATGTATGTATAATGAGATCAAAATGATACGATTGAAATATAATAATCTAAAAAAGATTATTACAATGATGAAAATTACGATGAAAAAGATATAAGAATTTTAATAAAAACCGAATTTTTTTTAATAGTATCACATACAGGAAACTATGTATGTAAGAGAAACATATAGATTACAATAGGTATCGTTAAAACCAGAATAATGTTGGAAATATCGCATGAGAAGACAATACGATAAGCGTATACCATAATGCAATCGATAGGAGGTCAGCGTCCTTTTCCGTCGGTGTATCATCAATCGAAATGTTAGTAACACCCCGACGAACAACGATTAAATATCGTTGTCATTTTTTTTTTTTTGATTTGCAACAATCAAATGAGTTCGATCGTTCAAGTTAACATTCACGATACTTATTACGAACAAGTGCGCGTGTTATGTTAATTCAACAATGTCATACACACATCCGTTCTCAGCTGCACGTGTTAAAAGTATCGAATTAATCATAATCGATCGTTCAACGTAATCATAATCTAATCACATCGATTAGATCATTTACGCTGGCCTGTCGAGTCCAAGGGCTTCTTGATGTCGTCTAGCTTTGAGCCTTAGATCAGCGATGCTGCTGTTCTTGGAACGTGCTGCTGCTGCGGCTAAAGAAGCAGCTAGGCTTAAGGGATGCGGATGATTAGAAGATGTCGGTGGTGGTGGTGGTGGAGGTGGTAAACAAAAAAGACCACCTGCCGCGGCATAATGGAGAACGGCTGGATCAAATGCCGARCTTGCTGCTGCTGCTGCAGCAGCAGCACTCACGTTACTTCCACCACCTTGCATCGGTGGATGAAGTCTCAGAGCTGGCAAATACGGTGCCACTCTGCATGGTTCCAATGTTGTTGGTGGACTTCGAGGTGCCAGCACCATACCACCTGCAACACCTTCTTGTCCGGTTCGAATGAGAATTACAATTGTTGTCAGTGTGGAACAGTCAATTGTTAATTTAAATTAGAAACGTTATTAACCAAAATACAATTGAATTAACACAAAACAGATACCCCTAATCAAATTTTAAATAATAACAATATATTATTCCACACTCTCACCTTTGTGCAATTGACTTTCATGTTTGCGGCATTTAGCACGACGATTCTGGAACCAAACTTGTACACGTGCCTCGCTTAACCCAAGTCTCTGACTTAATTCTTCTCTCATAAATGCATCCGGATAATGAGTTTCATCGAAGAGCCTCTCCAATTCGGCAAGTTGTTCCAATGTGAAATTTGTTCGTGATCTTCTCTGTTTCCCATTTCCGTTACCATTTCCACGGCAATTTGATCCTGGATATTTATATCGTGTTGGCTAATAAATAATTTCCAAAATGTTCTACATATTTTAATAATAATTGTTGTGAAAAATAATTGATCAATCAACACACCGTTAAAAAATCGATGAATTGAGTGATCAAAAAAAAAAAAAAAGAAAACAATCAGGATTCTAAACGGAATCGATATTTGGCTAGGTTTTTCTTAGAAGAATCTTCTATGATTAATGCAAGAAGAATGCTAGAAGAAAAGAAACACAAGGGAATTCGAAATTGATCTTTCTGATCTTTCACGGGTCATTGATGTCGGTCTGCACGCCATCAACATAAATTTTGACTAAGCTTACGAGATTCTTATTCAAATCATACGTCGAGTAGAACTTGTTATTGGCTAACATTAGCGAGACCATCTTCTCGGAGTATTTTCTTCATCCTTTTTCATGGATTATGATTTTCCACAAGGAATTATTTGCCAACTTTTAACATCCCTGAACAAATTTCTATGACTTTTCGTTTGAAATTTTATCGATCATTATAAACCATTAGTGTGTCATCAAAATTTAAATTAATTACAAGTATACTTGGTGTCTTCAAACGAAACAGGACGTGTCTTTTGATTATTTAACAATTATTCATACATATTTTTGGGACTACCTCAATTAAACATCCCTATAGGATACATTGAACGTAACAAAATAAAAATAATTGTTGATACAGAGGGAGTTAAAGAGGCACGCCGATAATAAACGAAGTATAGTATTTAATTAATGGGTGCTTAATGTAAAGTAACTACGGTACAACTCTCAGGAGGTGTTGGCCGATGGGAACTCAGGGAGTTGGTTCGATGTGGGGGCTGTGGGTGGAGCCGGGGGAGGATTAAGCGCCTCTCGTAAGAGCCCTTGACGAAGGGGATGTGATTTATATAATTTAGCAAAGTGGTGAGCTACGCAAGTCTTATAGGGGGTCGTTAGTCACTTCTTCTTCTTCTTCTTCTTCTTCTTCTTATTCCCTTTACTCTTCTTACCCTTAGATTTCTCCCACCTTAATCACCCTCTCCTTTAGCTTTCTCCATCTGTCCGATGGAATTTATTTAGTCAAAACGATCATCTTCTTTCTATATGACACATTTTAAATATATTTTTCTCATCTAATCCTAACCTCAAACTAAATATATTTAAAAATGTTTTAAATCATCATGATTTGATTCCAAGAAAAAATAGAATTTTATTGTTCATTTGTTCGTCATGAAATAAATGCAAAATATTCCGTGTTAAATTGAAATAAAGATGAAAATATAATGTTGTAGTTATTTTCCGATGATACGCATGCGCGTCAGGAAAATGGCTACCATACGGCAATGCGTATAGCGCTTTAATCAATTAACGCATAGCTACGTAATCCAATCGGAACCCTGCCGTAGGAAAGCCCGCATCCATATGTACAGCGGTTTAAAATCCCTCCTCGGAAAATAACTCGCGCGGTTTACAGCCCCACCCTCTCTTTTTCTCCATCCACCCCTTCACGAATCCTACCACGAATGTCTCTCGCGAGCGCGTTACATTCACGTTAAACTACAAACTCGTCTATCGTTTTTCTCAATAACGACTAACTTTAATCACCAACAACGACCATATTGTTGGATTCGTGTGTTTTTTTTTTGTTCTTTCCAAAAAACCAATTACAATTGCAGTTAGAGTCCAGTTTAGAAATTAAAATGGAGGGAGCGGGGGGTGAAACATGATAGAAATTTGATAGACTTTTTTGTGTTGAACGAAATGAGAAATTTCATACGAATGTTCAATTTTAAAAATATAAAGATAGTTTGTTAAAGAACCCGATAGATTCCTCGTATGATCAACGTAAGGGAAGAAAAGAGAAGAGTAGAATTTAACCCTCGGCAAAAGACCCGAAGCAATCACACTCGGACACGAAGGAAGGAAGGAAGGGTCGGACTAATTCGATTACGAAAAGCTTCCTGCCCTCTTGCTCCTAGCGAATGATACCGAAGGCACACCACTTCAACTTGCTCTCTGTTTCGGTGAAGCATTCGGACCTTATTCTTTCTTCTTGTATTTTCTCAACGTAACTAAACGAATCGTCGAGATATTTCGGTTATTAGGCGTAGAAAGCCCCGAAACGGGATATAAACTCAGTAAACCCTCGTCGTTTGTTCTCAGTTACCTTAGCGTAAATGTGAATTAGTGTCGATATCATAAATCCCCAACTGATGCTTCCTAATTTAACTGTGTTGTGTGTCAACGTGTAGAAAAGTATGTATACTTTATGCTCTTTTATTATTTCGTAATATATTCTAACAACCCTTTACACTCCTCCCCCAATAAGCACAGGTTACATAGGGATACCCATGAAAATATGAAGTACAATTACATTTTATAACTCCTATACATTTAACCCTTTGTACTCCTAACAACAGTAATACTACTGTTCAGGTATTGGTTTGCTTGGGGTATAAAGGGTTAATTATATTGAATTTAAAACTAACAAGAACTTGTAGAATACTTTAAAGGAATCCTAGCTAGCTTGCAAAAGCTAAAATGTTTCACAATTGTCCCTTCTAATTGAAACATTTCAATTTAACCCTTTGTACTCCTAAGAACAGTTCTACTACTGTTCAGGTATTGGTTTGCTTGGAGTGTAAAGGTTAAAAATACTTTTAAAAGAATCCTAGCTGGAGTGCAAAGGCTAAAATGTTTCAGGATTATAATCGCATAGTCGGTGGGGGTTCCATCAAGAGAATTTCAATCTCTCAAAGGCTACCGCTATGAGAACTCATCGGTGATGCAGTGATCGAACTCAATACTAGGATCGGACGTGCATTTTCCCTAGCTATGGTCAGACTAGCTGATCTACTGCGGCACTTAAAGCGCGCGCACGTCAATCCCACCCTCCCTCAGGCCCCTTTTTACCCCTTAAAGGTCTCACCGTTTATCCTCTCACTCGAACGACCGACCACCTTCCCCCTGACGCCCACCCCCTTCTTTCCTTACGTACTCTAACCCGACTCCTCTCCTTTTCCCGCGGATATTTATGATTTTACTTTCGCGCCTCCGATGGCTGCTGCCGAGAGTGGGAGTGGGGGTGTAGAGGGGGCTCGGCAGATTGCTTTTTGATTTGCGCTTAATCGGGAAAAGTTATGGGCCCCGGAGAAATACACGTCCGACGGTACACGAGAAAGAGAAGGAGAGAAAGAGACCACATACACATACACACACACACACACACACCATATAGGTGTCTACGATGTACACTTATAGAGGGGCGTAAACGACCGACACGACCGACCCGCATATTAAACCCATAAATTTATTCCGACTGACTTTTCGTTCCCGCGACCGATATCGCGTTGTTACCAACACATCCAGTACAAGTTTGACCATGTCCATGGACAAATCATTGAACCAAATTTATATTTTAATCTACTCTTTTTTGTTGTTAGTTGAAAGTAACGCATCAGATTGTTTTTCTTCAAATTTATAGTCAGCAATATTAATCGTATCATCAATGTTAATCAGTTTCTATTCATCTGTTTTATATATCTCTGTTAGAAATGTTTCATTCATTTGTAATCATAAATATCGTTTGGATAACTCGATTAGTCAAAAGATCAACTTACAGTTAGATGATCATTTGTGTACCTAATCATGGTTTGTAGAAAAAAAAAAAAGAAATGAAATTTGGCACGTGTCGGAAATCAATGATAGTTATATTTTGAACGGTCAGCATGTATACCCTTTCGCTTGGAAGCTTTATCGGACGACGTCCTGAATTATAAATGAGGATTCGAACCCTCCAATGGGATATACACGTCGTATTCGAGCTAAGGCTTTTGACCTCAGTGTTTCCGTCTTCGCGATGATAGAGGAGAAACAAACATTGGGTAGACGTCGGAACTAATAATCCACAAAACTGTCTTACTTTTCTATCCTAAGTGTTAATCCAAATATAAATTAATTGATTCCTACGATTATTTTGATAAGTTGTTAAGAATCGTACAATGTGCGCCAAGTATAAAAATAATGATTACTAATGATTACTAATGATAAAAATATTTCTCACCTTTTGTAGCTTCATCTTGATTATTATGGACCAACGATCTAACAACTTGCGTGGTTAATTTAGAATCGTTTATGGTTGTTTTAATGTCAGCGATACTCGTGACACGGCTTTTAGATTCCGTGCAATTTTCTGGACTAGCTGATCGATCTCTCGTAATTGGTGGAGGTGAAGGACTGCAACCCAAAAGTTTTCTTACGGACAACTTCAACTCCGGTGTTTTGAGAGGTGACACGTTCTCCGTGCTGGCCTTGACCTCCTTAACCACGTCCTTGATCTTTGTCGTCGCAACAGAAAGGTCTTCCGGTTGCAACCGAGCTTCCGGCGATGGCGGCGGCTCCTCGATGTTACCAACTTCAACACTGGATTGGTTACCCTCCTGACTGGTTTCCCGATTAGTTGACTTCCCATCTGGAGAACGTTTCGCGTTCGATTATATAAATCATCTTTTATCGATTTAATTTCAACTCGTATCAACGATAGATCTTAAAGCAAAAATATCAAAGTAAACAAAAGATTTGATCATAACAATAAAATACACATTTAGGAAAGGATCGAGTAACACCTTTTAAAAAAAAAACACATATCGATAGGTAAACACATTTTTCTGTGAAGCACGATTTTGATCACTCGCGTAATATACACTGGATCCTTTCCACCAAAATCTTATCTCTCTCATATATGTGAGATCTTGTAGCTCAAAATAAGAAGAAAGGAAAGAAATAAAACAAAGATAGAAAGAGAGAAAGAGAGAAAGACAGACAGAGAGAGAGAGAGAGAGACATACGGGATTCATTTCCATTGTCATCACCAAGAAGATGCGCGACACTGAGGGTGATTCGCGTCGAGGGTGCGCGTTCTGTGTTATTCCTGAGGAATCCAAGTTGAGTGGTCGTATCCTCGTCAACTACGACGACGGGTAACGGAGCGGTCGCGTTCTCTTGAAAACTTTTCGAGACAAACTGGGCGAGTTGCTCCATTATCGATAATACTAAACTCTCGCGTAGGTAGCTCTCGGCTACCTCACTCGCGAGAGTTGTTCGTTCGCGAGAACAGACACCGAAGGGGGTTAGACGTTGTGGCGGGTACGAAGTAGGTACGAAGGCGGCTCTCACTTTTCCTATCGGTCCAAGTACCAACCACCGAGAGGGCACGCACCCCCAGGACGCCATTCGAACGCCGACCAATAGGATTTCAAATGGGCGTCATTCGTTCACGCCCACCAAAGCGAACCCTCTTCAACCCCTACCTACACAATCCTCCCTCTCTTCCGAACCTATCTCCTCTTAGCGAGACACCACTCCCCTCATTAGCATTCCTGCACCCCCAAACTACCCTCGTCGTCCTTTGCAACCCCTTCTCTTCAACTCCCTCATCCTCCCTACCTAAGCTTCCTAACGCATCCGAAAACCCCAACAGCCCGTTCTCTCTTCCTCTCCCTCACATCTCTTCTCTTTCATCCTCTCGCTTCTTCTCAAAGGTGCAAATCTCACCTTCAGGGCCGCGCGCACCTCTCGGCTCTCATCTATTCCTCCCGCCGATTTTATTTAGCTTCTCTTATACTTCTTCATCTTGTTTTTAAATATAATTATTGTTTCATTTGAAATAAGATACCCAACAAGATTTAACATTAATCAAATTTAAAGTACTCAAATTTGAGATATATTGTAAAATACAATTCATGTATTATAAACAAATTTATTATTTTTTTTAAATAATATTTTCCGTGTTCATTGATTTTCGAATAAATCGACGCTCTTTGGTTGAAATTCTATAAAAAAAAAAAAAATAAAATAAAATAAAAAAAAAACTTTGGAATGATGCAAAGAAAAACGACACGCACGTTGAATCGAATCCCGAATTGCGACCCTGTGTGCTACGGTGCGTCGTCCCCTGTTTACCAGCACCAAACTCGGCAATATTTAAATGGGATTGCGTTCGGGAATGTAATTGCTCTGGCAAACATGCTCGGCACATCGTCGGCTCGTACAACGACGTCTCATCGAATAGATATAGAGACACGGAGATTGGATAAAGATGGATAAATAAGGGGTGAGGTGGGTGGATGAGAGGCAAGAAAACGAAGGAAGCAGAGACCAAATGGGTTGATGAAAAGAGAAAAAGGAAAACTTGTAAACACAGTAGAGGTAGTATCATGAGTAACTGTACACGTAGAGACACGTGTGCAGACATATAAACTTAATCCTTATTGCTTTTACTTTTTAACAGATACAAAAAGAAACAAAATCGTAGGAATGCTTGTACTTAAAAAAAAAAAAAAAAAAAAAGAAAAAACCAAAAAAAAAAAAAACACAAAACACAAATTCACGTACAAAATGGACAATATGAAAAGACATTGTAATAAAAGGAAGATAACAAAAAAAAAAAAAGAGAGAGAAAAGATGGTGGTAAGGGATTGTGAAAAAGAGAGAAAATTTGAGTTGGACAAGTGGTAAGGAGAAAAGAGAGAGGAGGAGATACGCGAGGGAAATGAGGGGGAAAAAGGCGTACGCGTGGTCCGACAACGTGCACCCTGAGAATGAGAGGGTGGGTAAAGGAGTGGAGAGGAGAGGAGAGGGTTCGGAGGGAGGTTGGAATAGTAGGGCGAGAGAGGAGGGTATGGCTTATAAACGCAGGCAGACGGAGCCAATCAGGACGCAATGCGATTACCTTAACGAGAAATCCGATTACTTATTCATTCACCTAACTCGAAATCAGTTTAACTAATCGTTTAATTCGGTTGCTAGCATACCCCACAGGCGGCGAACGCGCGAGCGTGCACGCGTTCCTCGTGTGTGTGTGTATATATATATATATATGTTGATAGTGGTGTTGGTGTTGGGTCTGCTAGAATAAACCCCATCCCTTTGCTAACGGCACCTATCTCTATATACGGTGTACACCCATACACGTAAATGCAAGAATGTAGTAGAGGCTCGTATAACGTTGGCTAGGTAGAAGGGCGGTTGGATTTGAGGGGTGGAAGGAGGTGGAAGAGGTGAAGTAGGGGGAGAGGCCTCATTCAATTCAATTACGTAATGAATTGTCGTGTCTTGAGTAAACACCCTTCCTCACCGCGACTCGCCGGCAGAAAATCGGGGCTCGGGATAACACCGGCACCCCTTCAGAGGATCCTCTCTCCCAAAGTAGGAAAGGGGGTGGTGGCGGGAATCGAAGCTACGCCGGCGGTTTAGCCGAACCGAATCAATCTGCGCACCGGCTCGCAAATGCTTCTACAGTTCTCCTTGCATCCATCCACCTTGTCTCTTTCTCTCTCTCTCTCTCTCTCTCTCTCCCTCTATACGATTTTGAAGATTAGGATTGAGGAAAAAAAGAAAATTGTATTTCTTTTCTTTGAGAATTGAGTCTTTCAACAGAACAACGTCCTGAATTTAAACCGTTTATGATTGATTAATGTTTTACTTGTAATCCCTTTATATTTATATTCCTAAAAATGATTGCATGTTTAATTAGACATTTAATTAGACTTGTTAATGTTTGAATTAAAGTGAGATAAGTTGGAAAAGCGCGTAAAGTTAATTTCTAATGCAAATGAATTCCTAAAGTGATTTACCTTTATTCCCATTTCAACGAGATCCGATACCATTTGTAGGCGTGGTATCGGTAATCCCTGTATTTCCCGAAATCGACCCTGGTCAAATTGATGGTAAGGCCACTTTAGAGGTTTACATAGACATCGGAAACGGTCGGTGATCAAAGCACCAAATCGATATCGGCAACGATCCGTGTAATCCTCTCCTTTGAAAAGCATCTGCATTTTCATTTAAAACGATTAATTATATGAAAATTGAAATAACATATTTTCTAAATTAATTGTGCATAGAATATTTTACAATTTTTATAATAAATTATTGACAACTATGTGAATATGGTCACTTATCGATTATTAATCTTTATATTTATTACATTTGTATGAAATCTTTTTCATGAAAAATTCTCGGAACATTTAATTTAACATAAATTATCATGTAAGAGGTAATCTATCCATTTTATTTGCAATACAAAACATCATGGTATTTGTTTTTAAATAATGACTAACATTTCTAATTTATCAAACGTGAGTATATATATTATTTAATTTTTATTGATTATACACAAATAACAATTTTTAAACTATTAATCTCAATATTAATAAAATCTGATAATTTCATTTTTATTTTACTTAGATTAACAAACATATCAACAATTTTCCAATAATTTATAATATCCTAAAACAAAATAATAGAACCTGCTGGTTTGAAAATTTCAAATCATTAACATTTAATACAAAATATAAACACATGTCAGAAAGGTGTAAAAAATTACCTCATACTCAAGTAGAATCTTCTATCGCTCAATCTTCAAAATGTTTGATGAACAACGATAAACCTACAACAAAATCCAAACAACGTTTATTCAAATTTCATAAATCTTCTTCTACAAATAAAGAAGAAAAATCAAGTAATTGTAAAAAGATGAAATCTAAAGAAACCAAACCATCATTTTGGCAACGTATATTTGGAATCAAATCAAAAAAATCTTGCCAACCATCAAACGTCAATTCGATAACTTGTAAAAAACAAATGAAATTATGCAAACAAGATCCACGTTTGTTAAATCCAGCTTATCAATCAATTCCTGGTGATGTGTTAATTTATACAGAAATTATGAAAACTTGTGAGCATGAATGTTCTGAACCACAACCAATACCATATCATCCGTATAAACTTCCAAGAGCTGTTTTATGTAAAATGATCATGGAAAATAATGACAAGGTAATTTGTTTAAATACATTACATCAATACAAACTATAAATGTAAATAATTGAATTTCTTCTTGCAGAAACTAAGACATTATTCTGCACTACTACGGTCATCAAATCATAGTAGCTGCAGGAGTAATAAATTTAAAAGAAATTCAATACTGTTCAAAGAAATGAGACCAATGGAACAAGAAAAGAATGCGTTCACTTGTGAAGATGGTGTTGCAACTAATAATATCATGCAACCTGTTAATACTAAAATGAATCCATATGGTATATCTTTTATCAAACTTATAAGAAATCCTAATCATACATTCAGCAAATTATTACAAGCAAAATTGATAGATAATTTTTCAATTTTAAAGAATATTAAATCTAAGGAGAAAATATCAAGGGAATAATTTACAATTAAGCACAAATTGATTATTGAAGTTTACTTACTTTTCAATATTTTTTATCAATAATAAAAATTCGATACAAATGCGAATGTAAATAATATTATTATTTTATTTCAATTATTTCACCGTTTAATTGTTCATTTACAAATTTCTTATAACAATTTCGAAATCCGAATTTTCAAATAATTTTACTCGACCAATGATAATTCACGATTTAAAATTATGTTTCGAAACAGATGGCACCACTATACGGTTGGCCAATAAAAAACTACTACTAAACTAGGGACCCTGTAAACTAACCCCAAACTATTTCATTCATAATATTATCTTTCGTATTTAATAATATAAATTTAATCATTTTAAACGTTATTTTCACATTACAATAACAACAAATTAAATAATAATCGATAATGAATATATTTTACTTATGGTTGAAGCACTGTTCTGATTGGGCGTTGCAGAGGAAATTAGATATCGATAGATATCGATGTATATCGATCGCAACTGACATATTCGATATAAATTTTGTCACATTTCACGTTTTATTACGTCATATTATTTATAGCAAATGTTCGCATAGCAATAAAACTATTTTTAATATTAAGTTCAACTGACATGAGATTAAAACTTATATTAACAAAATCTAGACAAAAATCTACTTAACAGATAATTCATTAGATAAAGATAAAAGACGATGGATTTAGACGATTAGAAAATTAATTCGATAACAATAGAAAAATGTTGTCAAGTGTAATCAAATGAAATAAACTCATCAATGAAATTATTTGAAATATACTCATTTTCTTATCGTGAGTATCGAGCCTTAACATTTTATAAATAACATTAACGCGCATTTGATAACAGACCAATAATAAATGTTGATTTCATATAAAAGAGATTACGTCAAACGTAATAATACGATACATCATTAATTAAAATCATGAACCATAATTGAAACATTTCATGTGATTAGGAAATTGACAAGAGAAAGGAACTAAAAGAAATTTACCAGATATATGAAAAAAAAAAAAACAAAAAAAACTATAAAAAGGTAATATTAAATGAAAAAGAATAAAAATAATAAGAAGAGGAAAAAGAAGAAGAAAAGAATAGTGCTTAAAGGAAGAAAATATTAATGATCGGTTTTAGCCGGTCTTTTGAGAACCGACTTTGTTGTCCGAAGGCGGCCTCGATGGCGGCGGGATTGTCGCTCAATGTGGACCCCTAAGAAGGAATCAAAGTTTCGGGGTAGACAAATGTCTCGTAAAGAAGTAGCTGCTGCTGCTGCTGCTGCTGCTGCTGCTGCTGCTGTTGCTTGTTCAACAACAACAACAACAACAACAACAACTTCTAAGTCAAAACAATTCCTACCGCGATTCTTTCGTAATCGTCGAGCATCGTCGGTTTCACTTGTGTGGCCATACGTCGATGTAAACGCCGGTTCGGTGATATCATCCGAACAACAAATAGAAACGAGTTCGTTGACGTCTTTGCCGGATGAAAGTAAAAGACTGTTAATCGATGATAAAAATAATAAATGTAAGACGAAAACTGTTGATGAAGGTAACGGCTATACGGAAATAGTTTGGTGTTTGGATCATTCATCGACGTTAGTTAAATGTGTACCTTCAGAAGTTGGTGCTGTTGGTGGTGGTATTGGTTTTGTTTTTGATGAACCCGAAGAAATAACAGGAGACGTAGAGACAGTTGCCAGTATCGAAAAATGGTTGAAAACGAGAGCGGAATACGTCTCAAATATGGATTTGGATGCTATCAAATCGGAGGTAGAAGAAGAAAACGTAGAAAGATATTTAACCAACGATCTGACAAATACTTTCTTACCGAAGGATCCTGACGCATTGTCCATTGACATTGACTTGTCCGATAAAAAACTTAACCTGAATTACGAGCATTCCTTATTGCAAGAACTACAGACGGAAAAATTATTAGGTGTATGCGAAAAAGATGATGAATTTATATTACCCGAATTTAGGTTGGATCAACTTGATCCTTTGGCTCTGACATCTGATGACATGATGGTCGCTGGAGAAATCTTACCTTCTACCAGTGGTCCTACATCTTTAATTACACGAATTGAACATCTTACTGATACATCTGCTAAATCAGGAAAAGGAAGAGTACCATTGATTGATCGAACAGAAGTAACTGAAAATCATTCTATGGTTGATTCAACGGAATTGACCAATTTACCTATCGTCTTTGAAAACATTAATGTCATGCAAGATACAACAGAAACTAATAATACAGTTTCATCTTCAAAAAATGTATCCAATTCTTTTACCGGTGTTCTTAATAATGATAATGTCATAGAAAATACAACAGATGTTATTAACGTAACTAACTCTGGCAATAATATTATGGAACAATTGAAATCTAAAGCTAAGATTAAATTAGAACCAAGAATTATTAAAAAACGTCGAAGGTTACCTGATAAATTGGATGAAAAAGTGGAATCTAAGGAAGGTGTAATGACTGTTGTTGCCATATCGACAGATAAAATTTCTAATATGACACAAATTGTTATTAATAATGGTACGGAAGAACAAATTTATCAGGGTAAGACGTCGGAATTGATAGAAGCTACAGGAAATTTTCCTAAATTGCCAAAAATAGACACTTCGCCAGCTTGGAATGGTGGATCCTTAGAATGCAATTCTGAAATAAATCCTAGCAGTCAACATGAAAAGATAATATCTAACGCTTTAGCTGAATTAGGGGTTACGGATGACAATTTGCAGCCAGTCACGGTAAGCGAACATGGGAAACTTTGGTTATGTCCGAAAGAAGGTTGTGATAAACAATTCAATAGACTGTATGCTTTAAAAGGACACTTGCTATCCCATTATGGAGTCAGACCGTTTAAGGTAAAGTATACTATTTATATCATATTTACAATATATTTATACAGCTCATAATTAAATGATTTATTTTGATTTTTAGTGTGACAACGAAGGATGCACGTGGGCATTTTATTCGGAATTTAAATTAAAACGACACAAAGAAACTCATTCGAAACGTAAAGATTACGCTTGTCAAGTGGACGGTTGTAACAGAAGATTTACCACCATATATAATTTATGGAGTCATCAGAAATTACATACTCGTCCTAATAGAATCAAGTGTCATGTACCAAATTGTCAAGAGAAGTTTCAAACTAAGAGAGCATTGGAATTGCACATGAGATCTCATGATCAGAGTCATGCTCCTTACGTATGTCAACACGAAGGTTGTGGTAAAAGATATTATAGTAGTAATGCATTAACATCACATCAAAGGTGTCACAGTTACAAAGAAATCGATGTTAAGTGTTCATGGGCCGGATGTGGTAAGGTATTTGACAAACCATGTAGACTGAAAGCACACATACGTTCTCACACCGGGTATAAGCCATATAATTGCACTTTTCAAGGCTGTCACTGGGCTTTTTCATCCTCCAGTAAGTTGAAAAGGCATCAAAAAAAACATACTAATGAAAGGAAATTTATATGCGATGTTGCTTCCTGTGGAAAAGCTTTTATGAGATCTGAACATCTTAAAGAACATAGATTGACGCACAAGGAAGGGAGGTACTTTCAATGTTGCATATGCAATACACAATTTTCGGCAAAAAGTAGTTTGTACGTACACATTAAGAAACATCAAAATAAAGAAGACATTGAAAGAAATATTTCTAAACAAATGTTAAACGAATCATCGAATATAAAGAATCGTTTTATAATGACCGAATCTCATTCATCTAAAACAAATCCTTTTGTAATGCAGAACAACAAATCTATTAGAGTTAACAAAGAATTTATTTCTCCGAATGCTTTCACCACAATACCAGTATTGTCTCAACCGTGCGAAACGAGTTTAAATAACGTCGATGATAATCAAAGTATAGAAATGATATCTAATCAAGATGAAATTAAAACGTTGTATCATTGTCCTGTTGAAACATGTACAAGATCGTATAGTACAAAAGCGACGTTAAGAGCGCACATGTCTAAAATACACGGTACACCTATCGGAGATTGTGATAAATCATTAAAAAGTAAATCCATAGATGTTATTGATTTTAACAATATGGATTATGTTTTATATGCTCCACCTTCTGTAGCATCAGAATCTACAGAACAACAAATGGTCATGGTAACGCCATGCGATGCTGTTATTGTTAACAATCCTTCGGAAATGATTTGTTTACCTGAAACGCAACCACCACTTTTAGACATAGTACTAAGAAACGATTCTATTCACGATAATAATCCAACGAACGAACAATTATTATTATCTAACGTTAAGAAAGATCATAACAGTTGTGCGAGGACAAATTTAACATTTTCGGACGTGTGTAAATTAAAAGCAAAAGGTGCACCAATGTGCTCCATAGCAGGAGCATCGGATGTAACATTAGGTGTTAGTGATATGAAAGGGGAATTATTATTTACCGAAGAATTACCATCGATGTATTATCAAGATGACGTTGGGGGAACGGAATATCAAGTTTTGTTACTTGATTCAGGACCGTCTGAAAGTGTTGTAAATTTGCGCGGTCTTGAATGATGTGTTAATAAATGTTTTTGAATATTTGCTATTAAATAAAAAAATGAAAAAAAAAAACAACAACAAAAAAAAGCAACAAACAAACAAACAGAAAAGATAAAAAAAAAAAATTACGGATCACTACTAATTTCTAAGAGTATATAGTATATAGATATATATATATATAAACAAAACAACAAAATTCAATATATGGTCTGTGATCGGTGGGGGCCACCACTCGTGCTCCATGATTTATTTGTATAACAGTCCATAATTACTTTACACATCGTTATTTTATTAATAAATTGTTGATATTTTTTCATAAAAATTATATATTCATAAATATACATATATGTATATGTATAGATATATGCATATATATATATGTGTATATATATATATATATATATATAGTCTACTTATTATTTCATTTTTCTATTAGGATATATATGTTTTTTCTCTCTCTCCTCTTTAACAGCAATAAGGTGCGTCGTTATAAATAAGTTTATACAAAAGATTTTAAGATTAAACGTGTTAAATGTTCTTTTTTTTTTTTTTACAATTATTCAATTATTTAGTTACAAGTAAAACAAAATACTTTGTTACAAAAATCGAGGAACTTTTTTTTTTAATGTAATACTAAAAAAAAAAAAAAAAAACAGTAAATAGATATAATTCTAAATATCTAAAAATTTATCATAAAGTGAGGTATACAAAATTGTGTTATCAAATAATACGCATTGATGAGTCGATGAAAGTGAAAGAAAGAGTGCGCGAATAAATTATATATATATATATAATAATTTTCAAATTCACCCGATTATAATGTTGTTTCATGAGATGATATTGGACGATCGGTTTAAACAAAAAAAAGGATCATACAAACTAACATTCGCAATTGGAATTGATCTTATTATGTGACATAATACTTGTATATTATTCTAATATCATTTGAAAAATATCGAGACGTAATCTTAATAATATTGCTATGAATGAAACTTATGTTAATTTTTAAATATAACAATAATAGCAAGATAAATGCATAATGTACTATAATAATTCTATTTGATTTACAATTCGTACATTTGACTATGAACATTTGAAATGAATCTAATAGTTGGAATGTTTTTGAACACTTTTCAAAAATGTATATATTTATATATATATATATATTAATGTTAATATATTGAAAATACTTATTATCAAAGTATCAGCACCGATCAAACAATTTCTGCCTCTTTTTTTGTAACATTGTAATCGGTTTTAATGGAAGGAACATGATAATTTTTCTTCGTTATTCTAAAGTACAAGCAGTCTCTTAATTTATCAAAAAGACATAGGAGAAAATGCAATAATACGATGAATGCCATACATCCAACGCATATCAATAAAGTTTGAATGGGTTTCTCCCAATTAAGAATTTTGTAAATATAATGATAACCATTTTTATCAAGACCACCTGCCGCGTAATATATTATTGAAAATATAATATAAAATAATACGACGATAAGGCACCACCATACATTTTTCATATATATTGGTACACTCGTGATCGACAAATCTATGAGCATTAAAATACTGTTACAAACGTGTAACATTATATTCAATGGGTCTATGTAATTAATTTTAGGATTGTACACTGCAGTCCAATAAGTAACAGTCACACCGATGGCTAAACTAGACGTCACCGTATAAAAAATCCAATAGGATTTTTCCAACATGGTCAATTTCATATCACTAATGTTATATGATGAATCCTTTTGTAATTTCCATCTTTTGGAAACTATTAATGCTCCTAGGAATGATTGTGTCAGTCCCAACGCCAAGTCCCAGTTGGTCAAATATATCGGCCATTTTTCCCAATTGTATTGAGGCTTGTAACTTCCAAATTCAAATAACGAACAGAAGATAATACTGATCCAGGCGATGAAGATCAACCAACGATATAATAAATACCAATTGGCTACGTGAATTTGACATTTTGGTTGGGAAAACAATTGGACGTGAGGTGGTTCCGTTTTTGTGTTAAAATACTTTCGTAATACTTCATAATTCCAAAATTTGTTTAACATTGCTTGGCGACCTGTAATGCAGAAACAAAACAAAAAATACATATGTTTAATATCATTTATAATTATTATAATATTGTAATGTAATTATCATTAATTTTGCTATTTTTCTTTGACAATTCTTCGACTTTTCTTATGCAATGTTGTTTTTTTTTTCTTTTTTTTTTTTTTTCTCGTAATGACAAATAAGCTTAAAAGTTACTTTTACAAAATGTCTGTCAAATTGACACAGTCGGTAATTTTCTATGCACTGTTATTGTGGTTAGTAGTTTAATAATTAAGTAAATTATTTTCATGGTCTGATGATTAAATCTTTCTTTATTTTTTTCTTTTTTCTTTTTTCTTTTTCTTTAGGAAGAATAGACTTTGATTATATATATGTTGATATTAATTTATTTTTCTAGCAATGTTACTTTTTATAGTTTAATATTTAATATACATTTAATAAAATGATTATTTAATCATTTTCTAACGTTACAGATTTTAAAGTTCATTTTGTAATAATGTTTTTTTTTTTTAATTGTTTATAATAATTTATTATCAACATTTTATCAAAATGAATATTTCAAAAAAAAAAGAAAAGAGGATAATCATTTCGAAATAATCGACATTTCGATTATCGACAAGATAATACGTGTGCAATTTAAAAATTTCGCGGGCTTTTTTGAACATCTTCAAATGAGCTTTTAATTAAATTTATATAATAAAAAAAAAAAAAAAAGAAACGATTGACGAATATTTTCATATTGATGAAATAATTCAATTATTTGAATATTTCAAATATTATAATATCAAATATTAATTTTAAAATGAACAATTAGAAATTCTAATTAATTTGATAAAAAAATTTACAAATATGTTTTCTATTTTTTTTTTCTTTAACATATTTATAACTTACGAAAATATTTATCAGTAAAAAAATAGGAAATTACTTAATTCTCGTTTTAATTTAAATATTGAATTAACATTTTAACATATATATGTCACGTCCTTGAAATTATTCAACATAACTTAAACATGTCGTAAATATTATTTTATTCATATTCACAAATAATTTTCTCAACGACTTACATAAAGAACATCGTAGAAATATGAATAGAAATTTTTTCGGCGATATTAAACTTTTCACGTGAAAGAACATTCTTTTATTTCTTTTTTTTTTTATCTTATCTTAACTAACAATTATCTTAAAAATAAGATAGAAATTATCTTACGGGGAAAAAAAACATGCTTCTATTATAATACTATTGATCGTCGTAACCTCAAAAGTGAAATAAGATACCTGAGTTGATTAAAGAGCGCAGCACTGTACCGCCATTGCAATTACCTAACAAATGGCGCCAATTTTAAATTTCTTCTCTTTTCTATACAATTTTGATTACAAAATTATTCTATTATCTCGACGTTAATTTTCATTTTGTTTTAATACTTATTACAATGTTGTTTAATCGTCTTAGATTAAGGACGATGATTTAAACAAAATGAAATTAAAGGAATTATTTGAAACAATTGAAAATTCAAAGATATGAATATTATTGTAGAAAAGAAAAAATTGTGTCGACATTTTGAATGAGTAGTATATCAAAATTATTGTATAATATCGAACAGAGTGAACATGAAATCTTTTAATCATGGTACTAGGCACAGATGTGGTAGGCGATTTCAATTAATTAACCCTAACTGACCTATGCGCTGAGGTTCGCACGAAGAAACGGTCAACTGTTCTATAGATGTTACAAATGTCCGGGAGGTCACACTAGTTGGGTCAATCAGTCAATACTAATTCCACGTTAATTTATTACAATCTTCTCTTATTATTATCGATTTTCACGCGTTAATTCAACTGAGGTGACACCGTTTTGACGAAACCTTTTTATAACAATTTCATTATCTTTTTGGAATAAGACAAATGTCTTATATATATATATCTTAATATATATTAATTAAATGTCAAAAAAATTAGGTGTCACGTTGTTTGTCCGCAATGGACTCCTAAACTATTAAACCGATTTTAATCAAATCTTACACACTTTGTGCAGTTTTATTCAACTTGAAAGATAGGATAGTTTATATATCAATTTATAATCGAATTATTTGTTTATTAATTAATTAGAGTCATGATTATTTCGGTTAATTCGATAAGATTCTAACAGATAACGGTATAATAAGAAACAAAAACGTATGTATATATTATAGTAATTTTGATAATAATTTCAAGATAAACTTATCCTTGTTAAAGTTAAAAAAAAACATTGTTGCTTTTTCATTTAACGAGGAAAATATGTTGAAAAGTACAATTATGCTAATAATAGTAAACGTAAATAAGTAACGTTTAACGTTCGTATATTTTTTTTCCTTTTTTTGTACTTAAAAATACATTTTATACATTTTTATCTAATGTTTTATTAATTTTTTAAATTAAATTTTAAAAAATTCAGACATTTTATTGTTTTTTTGTTTTTTTGTTTGTTTTTTTTCAAAAATACTTCTACATTATCAATTTGTATATTCATTTATTCGAGAAAATTTATGATGCAATTTCAAATTCACGTGACATCGTGCACATCACACTAGACAAATAATGACAAATTTAAACAAGATATTGAACTTGTAATAGAATAATTCCTAGGATAGAAATAGAGATTAAAAATAAACACACTTATCTATCGGCTTGTTTTTTTTTTTTTTGGTTGTTGTTGCGAGAAAAGCTGCAGTTTTCATATCTAAAAAATCGTCGCGTATCTTATCGATTTCTTTTGTATCCAACGATTACTAATTCTATTTTGGATCGATCAAAATAATGAAACTTCAATTTATTTATTAATATATTAATAAGTTCATTCGTATGAAAATTTGTAAACAATCATTACGATTCATGTACTATCGACAAATTGATAAATCAAATTTAACTTGAAATTTAACTTGTTAACTTTCAGATATTACACCGGACATTTTCATAGATAATTCCTGAATCGTATGATCGAAACAT